AAAAATAAAAATAAAAAAATCCCAGGATCAGAGTTGATTCATAACGGGTAACAGCTATGTCCAGACATCAACCAAGTGGTGTGTTCCTTAGGACTCGGTCAGAATTGCGAGCATTCAGTTTAGTTCCAACATTTCACTTAAAAAACAGTTTATAAACAGTTATTCCACAATCCGAACATTCTAAATATACATTCATGGAGAAGTTAAGCATGATTAAAAGCAAATAAAACTTCAAATGGTCATTGGACACTGGCAATTATAAACAAACAATGGAAGTAACAATAAAAGGCTTGCACCTCAAATGTGGTTGCACCTTTTCGACTTGTCACAGGAAACCACATGAATTGATTGAAACCCAAGTGCATCAGCAGAACGACAAGTAGCTGAAACATTTCCATAATCTGTCAAACCTTCCACCACTAAACAAACAGAATAGCTTCTATTCTGAACAACATTCTTCATCTTCTCTTTACGCACATCCAAAATAAGTGGATCAACAGCTTTAAGTATCTCACTACTAGTTAAAGACGAATAACCGGCTTCAAACATATCAAGATAAGGAAACCAATGACTATCACCACTATTCATATCAATAGTTAACCTTCTCTCCATTTTCATTAATCTTTTAATATCATTTTCTTTACTAGTAAGTAACTCTTCAATCCTATCTTTACTAAAATCTTCAGGTTCTTCTTCCAAGATCAAATCTTTAGAAACAGTTTCATTTGATATTTCTCTTGCAACACACCCATAAGTTCTTGAAGAAACTTTGCTTGAATTAGACCCAGAACCTAATTACATTAAATTGAAATGATTAGAGCAGTAGTTCATGAAGAAACCCAAGTTTAATCAAACCCCAAATGTCAGTAAATATAATGCATAAAGTTGAGAGCTTTACCTTGTTTTGGAGAGAATGAAGAGGCGAAACAGAGATTGGAAGAAGAATTAGAGAAAAAACGGTAACTTTGATGTGAAACCGAAGGAGAAGTTGGTTTCTTTCTTCGAATTTGGTGTTCAAGTGATGATATTGATGTACGAACAAGGGTTTTGCAGACACTCATTTTGTTCCAAAAGATTTCAAATACAGAGAAGACAAGAGAGCATTTACTTGGATAGTTGGATAACAAACATTTCATTTGTACTTAAAAAGGGTATTTTTGTCATTTTGAAAATATTACTTGAACAAGAAGCAGAAGAGAGAGAATATAGAAGAAAGGTGTTGTTGTTGTTGAACCTTAAACCCTAGAGAAGAAGTAAGCTAAAACCCTAACAATAATGGAAATGGAAATTGATTCTTTGACCTTGAATACTGAAATTGATGAAAAAGAGTTGTTTGATGCAGCTGAGAAAGGAGATTCTTCAATATTCAAATCACTTTCTCCATCACAGTTACAAAAAGCTTCAACTTTTCGTAATGAAGATGGTAGATCTCTTCTTCATGTTTCTGCATCTTCAGGCCATGCTGAGGTTATTTCTTAGATGCCCAAATCGTAAAAAGTTGTAATTATGGTTATTTTAGTTTGATTAGTTATTAATTTGTAACATTTTGTTGGATTTTTTTTTTAGGTTGTGAAGGTATTAGCAATTGGTGATACATCAGGAAGTGTTGTGAATAGTACTGATGAGGAAGGTTGGGCGCCAATTCATTCTGCAGCAAGTATTGGTAATGCGGAAATACTGGAGATTTTGCTTAGCAAAGGTGAGAAGCAAATTTGTTCTTATATTAGCTTATCCATTTTCAGTGCTGTCTTATCTTTGCTGGGAGATCCTTGCGTGAGAAGTTTATTTGCGCTGAAGATAATAATTGATATTTTTCTTTTCAAATAGACTTAATTCAGTGCATGAGCTATTATAACTACAATATATGTAT